CTTCCAGCCTATACACCAAGTATAATATCAAACAGTAAACAGAGCTTAAAATAGCAGTAATGGTTACCCATTTGACTTGAGTTAAAACTTCAATACAATGACTTCACTGCAGATACTGTATGAAAGCATAACGCATTCACTTGAGAAATTCTGCTTATTTCATTAATTCTGGGATAATTATCTAGTTAATTGGGGAAAACAGAGGATTTTGTCTTTTTAGAGAAGTTTTCTTTAAAAATAATAATAATAATAATTCCTGCTCTTTTTTTAACAACAATTATCTCAATTCTGAGAAAAGTTTTCTTAATTTTTTTTTTTTTAAATGGATTTTTTTTCAAGTGATTGCATTACACTCTCTTAGTTACTGAAACCAACGGTTTGTGAAAAAATACCATTGAAGTATAGACAAGCAAAACAGAGAATAAAAACATAGGTAAGCTTTTTATAAACCTTTTTATTTGTGTTATGCATTTAATCTCCAAAAAGAATGATTCATTTCCATTGATGAGACAGTTTTACAGTGATTGGGCTCCACATACAGTATATGACATGCAATTAAGGAAAAAAATAGCAAAAGAACTCATATTTTACATTCTTAACCTCTGCACCCTGAAATTATTTTCACCCTGAATTAAAACGAAAGACCCTCTTGATTCACATAAAAATCCTTTTCCCTTTTTCAGTTGTTTGTCCCTTTTTTAATATACGTTTTTTTAAAATTGTTTCACTCATTTCTTTCACAATTTTGATGTTGTCACCAGTCTACATCCACATCATTACCGGCCCCTCCACCGAGAGCTGGACATGGTCACACATCATCAGCAAACTTTTGAACAACACCAAATGTGTTGGTTGGCACTTGTGGCCAAACTTAAAGGACGCCTGCCAGGTATTGAACCTCAGTCACTATGGTGGTGGGTAAGGTTTTTTTTGTTTTTTTTACCTATCATACCTTTCAACTTTACTATTTCGATGGCTGGCGGACAGGAAATAAAACACAGCCAGTTGATAGCAGTGACTCCTTGGATGCCATAACGTTGTCAGTGTAACATTTCAACGTACTCTAGTGCAAAATGCCAAAAAAGACTGGAATGTATCACAGAGTTTCTCTTCACAGTAACAGTTGTGCTCACAGCTAACAGGAGCTGACCAAAAATATCGACTTCCGCTGGCGGGAAAAGTAAACATGGTGATAAGACGGGCGCGGTGTCTCGGTAAAACATTCACTAAGTGTTCACTTCTAGATCTACTGGCAGGATTCAGCAGGGCAGTAACAATAATAGTCATGTGTTCACGTTAAAAACGTTAGGAAAAAGGCAAATGTTATGGCATCATCGCTGCGTTCAGGAAGAGTCACGCCTCGTTTGGAGTTGGATGAACAATAAAGTTTAAAGGGAAGTTTTTTATCCTAAAATATTCTCTCCATCTCAGTCTTTGCATTTCATAACGTTATATTTAATAAGTAAACATCCATGGCATATCTTTTGGACTCTGCCAGTGTAAATTCTTTTGTGTCGATATATTGTAACAGTCATGAGAAAATCACCAAACCTAACGGAGAATCTTAGCTTTTTTTTGTTTGTTTGTTTTGTTTGAGGGAGGATGAATTGTGGTTTTGAATGGCAGTTCTGAGGCAAGCCTGTTTCTCAGATCTCTGAATGTTTCTGTGCTCCTGACAACAGAAGATGCTTTGATAATCCAGTTTTTCGGTTGCAGTCTCTTTAGCTTGAGTCTCCCCAAAAAACAAAACATCCCATAAATGGGTAGCGTTTGAGATGAGACGTTTCAGAGGAAACACCTGCCAAGAGATGATGTAGCTGTTTCACGTCTTTGAGGCCTTTCATTTCAAAATCTACACTTGCGTTTTTCTTCCCTCTCATTCACCCACAGATCTGTTAGGAAAATATACAGTTTATATATTCCATGTAAAATAATCCTTATTGTTTATAACCCCCTACTTAAGGAACAACTCCTTGTTTTTACACTAATGTACATCAAATCAAGGATTGTATCTAAAACAACATGTCGCTCTACAAACACAGTTTTCCACACTGAAGGATCTCATGCAACCAGAGTTAATAAAACGACAATACGTCAAATCAGGACAAGCACGGATGCGACAGATGAGTTACCACTAACCTCACATACAGATGACATGGTAATAGCCCTTTTCAAAGGCAGTTCACAAGCTGTGACGCCTCGAGACGAGTCCCGCTGAGAGACTATTTTACATACAGAGGATGTATGGCTGTAGTTTCCATGAAGGGCCCATGAATTAAGCCTAGTCCAGGATTTATGTTCCCCCTTTTCCCTATCCACCCTGGGGCATTACAATACTTGAAAAAGCTTACTCCAGGCGCTGTAGGTGAAACTGTCTTGTCCTCAGGTGCAGGGGGAATTGTGTAAATCCCTGTGTCGATGTAATAAATCAAATAAACTGAGTAGATTCTCCGCAGACAACTCAAAGTATACCACACTCATAATCAATGCAACCATTTTATCCTATGTGGCTGACGCTCATGCATTATTCCAACATGGGTGGTTAGTTTATGAATATGAGCAGTGCGACTGGGTTGGTCTCTTATACAGAGACATGGGGATTTGCATGATGTACTTTACATTGAAATAAAAATGGAGTAAAATCTTTAGTACTACACCAAAAAAAGAAAATATTTTAGTTAAACATCTACTCTTTTTTTTAAATTGCACGTCCCCCATTTTCCTTTTAAAAGCCTTAATAAATCTGAGAGTTGACGTCTTCAGGCCGTGATCACAGAGGACGAGTTTGTCTCTCGGTCGCTGGAAGAATCGAATTCAAATCATCTTCATCTTACTAATTAGTTTGAGTTTACATGTCTTGATTGCTTTAGCGTGCTCAAGAGGCAGTCAGGGTATCGTGGCCATACATGAACTAACTTGAGTTGAAGCTGTTTGGCCATAGGACATTGGCGTATACTGACACGTGAGTGTGCATCAAGACGACGTCAGTGACTTGACTGACATTTAACAAAGCATACGCTGCTAGTGTGTGTTGCCCTACATGCTTCCTTTTTAGCCAATACAGTTGTTTACATTTGCTGCGTAATGGCTTTCACTTTACACACCTGACTGCAGCTGGAAACATCTTTGTTCACAGCTGTGTAATGGACTGAGAGCTCTGCACCTGCAAATTTGTAGTGTTGTTAGAAAAATTACAGCTGCCACCTTCAGTAAGACGTTTGTGTTTTTGCAGAACTTGTACAAATTGGGATTAAAGGTGATGAAAATATTCTGAATTGTGGGTAACAAGCATTCGATTCATGTTAAACTGTGAGCAGCGGGGGGCTACAGTCAGAGCTGGGATCTGTTGTAAGGAACCTGCTTTAGAAACTACACTAAACTTAAAGTGATCAACTGGTCAAATGGTTTTTATAGCTGGGACTAAAAATATTTACTTTTTTGGAACCGTGACCAACATTTTTGTTATATTTCTCTATTTTGGAATTGGGGCATAGCTAGCTTGTTGTAGTGACGCCCTCAGTTAAGCTTTGCGTCTCAGCTGAATAACCAAGCTCCTGTGTGATCACGGCCTTAAACCTCATCAAAGCTCCACTCAGTCAACAAAGCACTTCGGACACTCAACAAGCTCATCGTACAGCCGAACCTTCTGGATCCAATGCACATGATTCTGTTGCCTGGAGACTCCTACAGAAACAGGAAATTGTCTATTTTTTTTTGTCTTTTGACATTTGGTGTATTCTCTTCTCTACCAAACATTTGCATGCTCAACATTTGAAAGGAATGTGTTAAGTATTAATTTTTTTTTTTTATAGACATGGCGCAACTAGGGAGGTGCCCCAGTTTCTGCCTGTGCACAAAATAGTTCAAAGACACATTTACGTAGTATAAACCAGGACTATATGAATCAAAGACATGGTCTCACGTCACAGACACGTAGAAAGACACACACACATAAACACACACTTAGAGTACATGTAGTACACTGAGACAATTATAACAATGGCTTCTTTTTTCTACGTACATTTTCCTTGCGTATACATTAGTATACATGTTTAAAGATACAAGAATGGTGAGGATTTACAAACAGATATGCAAATATCTTTCTTAAGTTTTTTTTTTTTTAACAGAAAACAAATATGAGACAGATAACGTTCAATGCTGAAATATCTTCTTTTCATCATTTTAAGTAATTATTGCAATCTAAACAATATGGCTTCGTCTAGTGAAAAGTCCTATCTGAGCTAGAAAATGAAAAGAAGGAAAATGTTCTTATAATGATTATGACAACTTCATCATTAGTCTTATTAATCCTTTAAGTTATTCTAAGTTACAAACTCATGGAACAATGTATTACTCTTACATCGTCGCATAACTAACCACTGAAAAGCCACCGGATCATTTAGGAATAACCAACATGCTTTGTTTTATTGATAAATGTCTATATATCCAGGTAGTTTCACTAAATAGAGATTGTTTCCATTTACAGCACATCTACGTAAATGCTATATGACAAATCACTATGATATTTAGTTGGATTAAGAGATGCAGGATGCAGAATATACGCAACTCTGAATGAGCTCTTTTCGGGCAGTGAGATGCGACAACTCACGGACCAGTTTTTCTCAGTCTACGGTTCAATTATCTAGTCGTATTTAGCCATGGAATACTTTAGTGGAAACAGGAGAGTATCATTTTAGTTTAGCAGTGGTCTTTGGAATGGATAATTTCTCCCACAGGCCTCACACATAAAAAATAAAAGAAAACGAGTTCGGCATGCATGCCTTTGTTTCGGCGGTGACAAAAGAAATAGTAAGGTCTCACCAGTATTTCTTTGGTCTCGATGTTGATGAAATTCGGTTAAGGTAAGCTTATGCATTAAAAGATGAGGAGGAATGTTAGCTCAGCTGGAATGTGAATTAAATCACATTTTCGGTTGCACTAAAACAAATCTGCGACACATTCAAAAAAAAGTAATAATTAAATTATAAAAAACCCAGACATTGTCTTGCGCTTGCACTTATATGTAAAGTAGAAAAAAAGGAAAAAAAGTATGAATAAATAGTTCAAATTAAGAGCCACTTAAAAGCAACAGTTAGTCAAGTGCTTAATGTAGAACCCACTTTTATCCAATCATGGATGGCATGACAGGAAATGACAACATGTACAGTACCAGCTACCCCAACTGTTTCCCAATGGTTAATGCTTTGATTGTCAATGGGGACCACACTACCTAAAATCATGATGACTCGGTTCGACCTTTACTTTGAGCTGTGTTTAAATCTGTACTTTCCGACAAAACTGCAGTGATTTATTTTTGAAAATGGGATTCAAACAAGGTACAAAGAGTCTTGTTTGCTTTCATGGATGATACCTTGATTTTAAATTCATATGCTGATATGAATTCTCGACATGTTCAAGATCTTGTGTTTTACTTTTTTCACATGATGGCAGTCTAACTAGCTGACAGGCCTAGAAAGTCTAGCTTTTGTAAAACTAGATGTGAAAGTAGGCAGGAAATAAAACCTTCTTCAGCAATCAGATCTTTGGAAGCTCGTGGCCAGTGGATTATGTTTTTAAGTAGTTTTTAGACTTTTAAGCCTTCGAATCTTTGGAATTTCCAGAAGTCCCTGGTTTGAACTTTTGGAAACCCAAAAATACACCAGCTAGCTAAACTAATATCAAATACATTATTCCAAAAGTGTCTGATCTTTGTATCTGTGAATACGTGCCTGCATGCGACCAACAACTGTACACCTGTTTGACTTAAAATATAACCCTCATTTACAATTCCTCTGCTGGAGGAGATGATATGAAGGCACATGTCCTAAAAACTCAAATGCTGATTTTATTTTATTTTTTTTAATATAAAGACCTACGCCAGGTTCATAAAAGTAGAAAACACCCACTGAAATTAACAAAACATGCTCCATCTACTGGAAAACATGGTGGCAGTGCCATTTGAAAAACCACAGAGGCAAGAGGACAGAAATGTCAACTGCCCTTCTTTTAAGGGAATACTGTTCTGCATTGGTCACCAACAGATGATGGCCAACCAATCAAAATGTCTTATCTGAACAGGTGTAAAAATAAGAACAAGAAAAAGGACAAAAAACATACTAATTGTAAGAAATGTGCTAAGTGGCAGTTGAAAGGTTGTACAGCAAATTGTGGCAAATAAAAGGGGGAAGAATGACGCAATCGTCGAGGAGTAGAAAAGAAGAAAGTAAAAGATTTCTAGAAAGGCAGTGTGTAGCCTCTAACAGTTTGGCAAGAACCCTCCTCCCGAATCCCAACAACTTCTACATGCCCCAAATCTAAACTCAAACCCTTCCTGCTTACAAATACCCCAACCAGTTCAAGTCCCCCAGTTTTTCCTCTCCCCAAACCTTCAACGTTTGCTCAACCCAGAGTCCCTGACACAAAGATCCCCTCCTCCCTTTGCCCCGCAGCCTAGCCCAGGCCAGACTGGACCCTGAACTTAGGGTTCGTTTGATTTGCTTCTCTTTTACTTCTTGAACATGTCCTGTAGAGGTCCGGGCAGAAACTTGAGGACAGTGTCGAGGATACTCTCCTCGTCCTCCTCATCGTCATCTCCGCAGCCCCTCGGGATCGCCTTCTTTGGACGTGTCAGTGACCCCTCGCAGGCCTGCTCCATGGCTGCTTTCTCCTCCGCCTCTTTCTCCTCCTTCTTCTTCAGTCCATACTGAAAGGAGAGAGGACAAGAGGTGATATGCAGGGAAAGAAACTTAGGGTGAATGAGAATTAAGATACAGGGACAGTTTAGTTTAGCAGTTTGCTTAGCAGCTGTTAAAACTGTACAAGGTGTACATTGGCGTGACGTGCTGGACGCTGTTTTGGGCCACTGACCACTGAGTGTTTTCTCACCTTGTCCCTGATGGTCTGTCGTACTTTTTCCCTCTCTGCCTCCATGCGGGCGTGTTTGGCCTTCCTCTCCTCCTCCTGCTGCCTCAGCGCCTCCTGCCGCTCCTCCTCCTTCTTGGCTGCATCCGGATCCTTCTCTTCCTCCCCACCCAGCATCTTACCCATGTCTTTGGTGGCTCCTGGACAGGAAAAAAAACAAAACATGGATATCACAGTTAAACATGAGCTGCTTTCCAATCTGGGTACATGTTTGTCATGACATTTCACGTCAGATCTAAACATCTCTGTGGCTTCAATACTCCAGGAGGTCGATCCTCCGCTTCCATACTCCACTGTACGTGTAGAGAATAAAGTGGTACTACTTCAGTACCAAAAAGTAAAACCATAGGAATGGAACTAGCAAACTGCTATTGCATCATATTGCAGCCTTGGACAGAGCTACCGATACACTTGCAGCGATATTGCAGTACGTCCACCTGCTATACTCAGGCAACAGTATGAAACACTCTTGAATTACCCTGCAATTTTCTCCCCCTGTACCTTTTCTTTAAATAGTTTGTAGCAGCTGGAGGTGTTGTGCTCAAGGGCACTTAAGAGGTTATAGTTACTTGGAGAGGAAGAACATTTGCCTCCTTTCCCACAGCCAGATCTGGTCACATTAAGATCATGTGATAAAACCTGAGCTTAAATCAAGGGGTTAAAAAAACAAGGAAATTCATTCCTTCTGTCAAAGATTTGCTAAATTCATACGATATATTCAAATGAAGTCATCCAATAACAGACCACATACACACTGACACCCACGCCTGTCATTTCCAACTATGAAACACTGTCAGCAGTTCTGGGGATTATATGTTGACAGTGTTTCCTGAGGATCCTTGAGGCGTCTTGGAAAACAAGAAGGAAGAAGAGGAGCCAGCTGGAAAAACTTCAAAGAACCACTGAGACAGAGGAAGACACATTTCTTCCATCCGGTGTCAACCATCTGTGAGCCCTACCTGTACCTCAGCATCCAGGCAACACGCTCACTCTGATTTATACCTGAATGATTACACCTAGATTAGTGCAAGTAATATATGTTCGCTTCATGGCACATTACAGGGAGAGCTAAAGCTTTTCAAGTGTCGGGTCACTGCAAATGGTGGAAACTGGAGTTTGAGGGCTAAACTAACTATCTAAACTAGTGGTGAAACAATCAATTGATTAGCTGATTGAAAGAAAATGAAGCAGTAGCCATTTTTATTAAAACAATTTAAAGTTATTTATCAAGAAGAAATGCCAAACATGCTATCATCTAGATTCAGCTTCTCAAATGTGAGAATTTGTTGCTTTACTCTGTTTATATTGATGTAAATTCAATATCTTTGGGTTTTAAACTGTTGCTTGGACAATACAAGCAATTTAAAGACATTAGCTTTGACCCTGGGAAATTGTGACAGGCCTTTTTGACTTTGATTTTATTGCATTTCATTAGACTGATTAATTAAAAAATAACTGACATGTTAATTGATAATGAAAAGGTGCTGATGATGGCGGCTCGACTGGAGGTTCTGGGGGGTTAAATGCCTTGCACAGAGGCTCCTGCACAGTGGTCCGCTTCAGTCCCTGCTCTTACACCAGACTCACCTCTTTATCTGTGACAGAAGCTGCTTCCTAGATGTGAAAGCGACTCCCTCCGGCCTATCGATAATGCCGTTGTTGCCTCCCTCTGATCGATAGTAAATACAGGACCACCTGAGAGTGTATGAATTATGGATCCTCCGGCGGAGAGAAAACTTCATCTGGGTATTGATCTGCCTCTGCCGACCTAGTTTGCCATCCAGTGGCTTTTTTTAGCCAGAGCCAGAATCAGGGCTAAATATGTTTCACCACTGAGGACAGTGTTTGAGGAAAGGCAAACGTATTAACAATGAAAAGCTGCGTATTTTCTGCATCGTCTCCCATAGGTTCTCTAGCTGACTTCTACGTAGGACACATGCTAAAGACAGGCTAAGTTATGCTGACCGTATTTCCTCTTTTAAATGCCTTACATATGCCACACAGCGGAGACTATCCAATAGCAACAGCTAATGGACGGTTTCACTAAAATGTGGTGCAAACACATTTATAATTCCCAGTGGGTTTTCTACCTGTCCATTACACCAAGATAGCTGCGTTCATGTTCCCTCTAAAACTAATGACGAAATTCCTGTAAGCCTCAGCTAATGAAGCTAATGAGCATGCAGTGTGGCAATATTGAGCTGATTACGCTCAAAGACATTCAACGCCAATATATTTTTTTAATTGTTTCTCGCTAAAACTTCTGCACATAGTCATGAACTGACCAAAACTTCCACCTTCTCTAGTTGCTGACAGAGAAATTTGGGAACCAGAAATGTCATTAAACATTAATGTTTCTGACATTGTTATTGATTACCCACCCATCAACCTTCACGGACATATTGTGGTCATTTAGTGTTATGTGGCAGTAAAAACCTGAGTTACTGCCTCTTTAAGTACAAGAGAGAACATTTTGGAGTAAATGGCTCTGAAGAAATGTGGCTTTAAGGACTGTGTGGTTCCCTCTTGGGTTTGTGGACCCAGGGGTGGCCGGTCCTGTCGCTCTGCAGCAGACTCATACAGTGGTACTAATTGCCCTGCTGCGCTTTGTGGTGGCAGAAAACCTGAGGATGACAAATTAGCTCACAGATGGTGGTTGGGTGGGTGGGTGGGGGCCCACATGTTCTCCAGGACTCACTGGGGAGCCGGGTTAAGGTCAGACTGTCCGTTGTGTCGTTGTGTTAAAACAGTCAAACACACCGTATGTACAAGAACTATGTGCATGTGTGTGTGAGCAAACACCTAAAGGGTTTCCCTGGATTACAAACGTCTGTTTTCCTAAAGAACGAGACCTTTTAAGTTATGATCCATGAGAGGTGTACAGGAGGAAATATGAGGATCTATGTCATTTGAACAGCTGCCTGTGGAGATTACATTTCACTACGTGCGCATCTTGTGCCGTGGTCCACATTCAGACCCTCTTTAACCCGGATCAGGGCCAGACCGTTGGCGGCAGGGGTGCAGATTCAGAGGACGCCAGGAATAAAAGAATTAAGAATATGATCAATTAAAGGACGTACAGACTCTTTCTTTGGTACAGAACATTTCATGATGAAGGTGAATGAAATTGGAAAGTCATTAGGTAGGTAGGTAGATCATACATCGATCCATCCATTCCCCCTCCTCTGTCCTTCTCATGTGACCTCTACTGCTCCTTGCCCCTCCCCCTCGGTTTTTGTTTCCCTTTTCCGCCATTAAAGTGATATTTCAGCACTAATTTGATTCAGTGGTCTTCCTCTTCTTTCATCCTACCACCTCCATTCATTTATCTCTTCTCTTCTCTTTTTTATTTCTTCTTTTACTCAGAATTTCGTTCCACCATTTGATTCCCAACGATCACTTTAACGCACTAACATCACTGCAGTTAAGACTCGTTTATTCCTCCTCTTTCCTTTCCTTTACCTCTCGTCTGTCTCTGTCCATCAGTCCGTTAGAGGCCAGCTGACGGATTTGCTCGGCAGACAAAGGTGGGCAATTTGAGGTTAAGTGCGCAAACGGCCCCAGTCCTCTTGTTGTGCATTAAATCACTCATTACTTCATTCAGTCTTTCCATGGGCCGCATCTTTGTGCCGACGGGGTTTTTAATGCAGGAAAGCTCTCAATTTGAAGAGGCGGAGATACAGTGGCATTACGGGTCCAGCGCAGCTCCTCGAGCGCTTCAGCAGACGCCCAAACAAACAACAAACACCGGGCAACGGAGAGCCCCCGAGGATGAGATTTGATTGATCAAGTGGATTTGGTTGAAGCTGATTAAGGCATAAAGTGAATAACATCCACTCCAAATGTGAAAGTGCATCTTTCTCTCTTTATTTTTCACTTCCATCCACACTAATTATGGCTTTCTGAAGATACTCGTGAACATCTGAGAGCCTGCGCAGCGGGACCGTAGTCTGCCGAGGCTTTCAGAGGAGCTCATGAAATCATGTTTCTGCTGAGCCAAGAATCTATAAAACATTAAATTATGTTCCATATTTTGTTAAAGCGTTTGCTTTTCCAGTAATAGAAAGAGAGGAGGTTATTTGTTAGTGAATCGTGTTGGTGTTGCTGGAGCAAAGACTCCCCGGGTAAGAGGTTAAATAAATGATCATCTCGAGCCGCGGCCGCAGAGCGAAGACAGCATCTCTTGGACTAGAAGATGTCATATAATATTTATCTGAAAAAGCAAACTGGGCTGTAACATAACTGAACCAGTGCGGCCCTGCACCCAGTCCTCGCTGCTGGAAGGCTGATCACTACTGTCCAGAGAGCAGGGCACAGAGATTTTAAAAAACAGAGAGAATAGAAGAAGGAAGGAAAAACAAGAAGAAATGAGGGAAGACGTTCGAGGTTGATAGTAAAAGTTTAGATTAAAAAACTGATGGAAGTGAAAATGAGTTTGTAGCATGGAGTAGACCAAAACTGTTTTTATACCAGGCTGTAAACATGTTTGTTTCTGCTGTAAAGTTGGACATTTTAACATGGGAGTCTATGGAGACTGACTCGCTGTTGGAGCCAGACTCTAGTGGTCGTTAGAGGAACTGCAGCTTTCGTGCACTTCTGTGTTGGTTTCGTTTTTCAGCCCTGGATGTTTCTGCTTGTTGCTGCATTTTTTGGGATCGGTGTGAGCGTCGGTTCCTCAGAAATCATCCGTAAACTACGTTACTGCTGCGAAGGTGCTCAGATGTTCATGAGTGTCTTCAAAGAGCTGTAATTAGTGAAGAGAAAAGGGCGAAATAAAGAGAAAAGGATGCACTTTCAGACTTCAAACTAGGATATAAAGATGCTTACTTATTTGCTGGATGGAGACACACTTAACTCACATGTTAGTTTTCTGCAGCATTTCTTTCAATGGGACGTATCAGAGAAGAAGAAGTGTAAAGGGAAAGTAAAATGGGAGAAGCAGAGAGGAGGAGGCCTGATGACAGAGAAAATGAGGATGGTTAGGAGGAGAACTCCAGACACAGGAAGTCAGAGAGACAAGCCATGGACCATTTACTCTCCCCTCCGTCAGCCAGATGGATAGCAGTGCTGCTGGGTAATTTGTTAGGGGTGGAGGGGTTTGAAAAATGGAGCTCATTTTAATAATGAATGACCTCCACTGCAAAAGTTACGCCCTCATAAGTCACATGAGCGGCTGGACCGACTGCTGCATCGATCAGATGTTTGGGCGGCCTCGTGGTTATGTCACTGGATGTTCACCGGTCTCACAAACCCACAATGTTCTGCTGAAGTGCTCTTGAGCATCGTAATCCGTGCGGTCCTTTGTGTGTGGACAACTAATCAACCTGCCCGTGGCTTCCTGTTATTGCACCGTCCTCGCTCCCTCATCTTCAACCCACCTGCACAGGAAATGAAACAGCAACCTACACCCGCCTGGTCAGGACCGGGGTCACGCCGATTCCTCCACAGATTATCTTTATATTATCTTTAATTTGAGAAAGAGGGCGAGGTTCACATGTTTGATATCCTGCTGAGGTCAGAAAAGGAAGGAAGTAGATATCGGGAACAGAATGAATGTTTTGATGGCATCTTTCTTGAGACAAGGAGTGGGACGTTCAGAGTCTTAGAGGTTGCATCTTATACGTAAATAACAAATGTCAGATACGCACACGACCAACATGTGTCACTTTATATTTGCTCACTCATGCACTCTCGTGTGGCAGCGTTGTAAAGTAATAAAAGAATTGTCTCTAAAAAAAATCCCTGAATATTTTTTGACAATTTAAATTAACTTTGATCTTTGCTCATTTAAAATGCAGCAAAAGAAAAACAAAAACTCTTTATAAAACTGTTTATGTTGTTTCTATTTTCCATGACCGCTCGACAAAGTTAACCACGTTGTTATTATAGTAACCATGACAACAAAGATCGTCTCACGTTGAGGAAGTACTGATTTTAACCCAAATCACCATCTTTCCCGAAAACTTAACCAAGTAGTTTTTGCACGTAGACATGACCAAGCCATGACTGTTTATTACCGTAACCATGGCAACGAAGGTCCGGGACGGTGCCGTCAGTACAATCTTCAATAACGCGGAAACAACATGGGAATTCACTCCGATTATCGGGGGAAAGCCACAACGTAGACAAGCAGAACAACGTTAACATTTAGCATGTTAGTGTAACATATTGATATCAAGACGTTAAGTTGCATCAAATTACACCTTAGTCATCAGGATCTTCGTTTGGAGACAAAGTTTCTACCACATACAGCTTCACAATTCCCATAGCCACTAGTTTAAAAATAAAAGCAGTTGAGTGAGGTCCACACCCTGGTCCGTGGATCCAGCACGCCGTCCTGGACTGATTGATCTAACACAACGTGGAAACTCTGATGAATCCGATTTCTAATTAAACAACCAGTAAATACAATCTGTGGCCCACGGCTGAAATCTATACTCTCAGTCTGCACCAATGAAAGGTTCAGGAGGTGTCTAACATCTAATGACATTAGCGAGGGCCTGGATCGTGTGTGTGTGTGTGTGTGTGTGTGTGTGTCGGGCTAAATTAGATAAAAGTTTGAATGCAGCTAAATTGGACAGAGAGGACGGCTTTGTGGGTGTTTGTGTGGATATCGAAAGCTCCCGAACAGCGACTAAATGGACCCAGTGCTCAAACCGTTTTCTTACTTTTAAACTGGTTTATTTTGTAAATCCGTAAAATATCGAGTTAAAAAACAAGACAGATGTGAAAATCTTATTTGGTTTGTGCCTCCACAGTCTTTCCTATGCATGAGAAAAACACTGCAGGGTTGTTGTTAGATTGATATCCTGACACGCCCTCCTCAACACAACGCTCTGATTGGCTGCAGTACACTTCATCTCCGAATGGTCTCATTTTCCCCCGGGACTCTACCACAAATCAAACCTCATCTGTGTGTGTGTGTGTGTGTGTGTGTGTGTTTTGTGTGCTTTTCTTTCCCTCAGTGCATGTGTTTTTGTATTTGTATTTGTGTGTGTGTGTGTGTGTGCAGCTGCTTGTATATATTCATGGATGACCAGCTGTGTCCCAAAGAAATAAATGCCAGTCTGTTCCAGGAGAAAAGGTCACAGCACTAGACCGCACCTCTCCAGGAGGTAAATTACAACACTTCAACCTGGGATGGATGGGGGGGGGGTAGAGGGGTAGAGGGGTAAACTGCTTTACTGTAGCTTATAACACGCACAGAAGGAGGGGTTGGTGGAGGGAGAGAAAAGGTGGAGGTTGTATGATAGAGTCAAAGTAAAGGGAAAATAAATGTTACAGCCTGTGACACTCACAGTGGAAAAGATGGATGGATGGAAAATGGAAGAAGGAGTACGACCTGAATGGACGGAAGATGGAGGAGAGTACGGTGCAAGGAGAGAGTGTGACGGAGGGATGGAGAGAGGGGAGGTTTCCCCCGTCCCCGGCTACACCGGGAGAGACAGAGGGACAGATTGATGGATGAAGAGATGGAGGGAGACCCGACGGTGTTCAGACTCGGCGTGATGTGAATTTTCATCTGGTACGAATTCGACTTGTGGTTTTTTGGCAGTTCGGGTTTATAAACTGACAGCGGGAGTGAGGAGACTGTAAAATTCCTCAAATAAATACGTGAAACAACAGAAATGTCATATTTGCATCACATTTTCGACATTTTTTTAATCATGATTTGCATTTTCTTTTGCAGATCTAACAACAACTTTTGGGTAAAATTTGCTCAAACTTGACTTACTGTTAGCAAAGAAGCAGCTCCCCCTGGTGGCTCAGCAGATACCACAACTAGAAATCTTTACTCCTAATATGAACTGCTTTGTTTTCTGCCGCAGCACGGTGGCAACAGGAAACAATAACGTCCAATCAGAGCTGAGTATGTAAAGTTCACATTTAACATTTAATCCATCTGCAAACTTTAGGTCCGTGAGGAGAGAAAGAGCCTGAAAAAAAACAAAACATGTCTCATCATGGAGCCGATTCAGCTGACACATCACATGACCCAGATCTCTATCTTAGGTCACGTGACCACTTGTTTCCTCAGCAGCTCCATTTGCTGAATGATTATTGTAAAATTCAGTTGAAAGGTTCAAAAGCTAGTGAGCGGAGCTTTGATTTTTCTTCACCCTACACTGTTCCCAAAGGTCAAGAATAAAAGTCTCTGCTCGTGTCTATTTTTTTATCCATTCATTCATTATTTAATCACACCACCTCTAAATTTTACTCAGAGGAAATGCGTAATGAGTTGATCACAAGCTTTCAGTCACTAGGAAGAGAGGGAGAAGAAAACAAAGGAGAGAAATGAAACGAAGGAGAAGATTTAAGATAGGGAAAGATTTAGACGTGCAAAGAAAGCACAGGAATGAAAACCAGGAGGAATAAATGAAAAGGGGGGGGGGGGGGTTGAATGAGGAAGAGGAGGAGTAGAAATAAAGGAGTGATGGGGGATGAGAGAGTCAGGGAGGGCAGGGAGAGCTATAAAGGAGTAAATCTCATTTCATTGTGGCTGCTGGTCACTGAGCTGATGAAGCTAGATGAGAGGCTTGATTTAAGGAGACATTGACCTCTGGCCCCGGGTGGGTGGGGGGGGGGGGTCACAGGCTTCTTTATGTTGCTCTTGTTGAGCGACTCCGACCTCTAACGTACAAGTCACCTGGGATTCACATGAAAACCAGGGGCAAGAATAAGGACTGACACATTATCTTGATGAGTATTCTGTGAGGGACAGACATGAGCTCTTGGTTGAAATTATCCAATAATTAGGAACAGGACTGATATACATCTCCTCCGTCTGATGAGCTCGGTCCATTTTTAAAACAAAACTACGCTCGGAAAAGACTTTGAGAACGTGAGTCGCCTCTAAATTTGTTAATTCTGTATCAAAATCCTCATAATAATTTAAATGTATTGAGACACATGAGGCAGATTTTATCAGTACGTCGTCGTTCATGAGAAATCCTTCATAAAGAGCTTTTTTCTTTCTCCTTTCTCCAACAAATTTCACTAAAAAACACAAAAGATTCTAAACAAACCAATAAAGAAAACAGACTATATTATTTCAGGGATCCAGTCCTGTGATTATTTATTCATCCTGTCTCACCTGAAACTGTTGTTAAGGAGTCAACACAGTCACAAACACATCAGCTGATGTTTTAAAGCTTTATAAACTAAAACTACAGTAACATCTGTGACATCTCCTGCTGCAAAAACACCCACCACAAAACACGCCGCCTACAGAGATCTTTACCTTCCTTCCTGTACCTGCTTGTTATGGACTGGATGTTGTAGTGTAATGTTAGTGAGACTGAAAAGCACTAGAGAAAAAGACTGTTCTGTGTTGTCACGCACAAAAAGTTGGCGTGCGGGCCCCTTCTTCACTGCAGCGCCCTCGAGCAAAGCCCCTTCACCCTCAATCACTGCAGTGAAGCTGCTCAGTGGGAAACAGCCTCCATGTGTAACTCTGTGAATCGTCTCAGCGAAGACTCCCCAGATAAACAACAGCTACAGTTGGAGTACTCACCACCTAGAGCTTGTTTCATTACGAAATCCATGGTTCCTGCTGATTCGTACGGTTGTTCTTCTCAAAGCCGAAGAGAGCTGAGCATGTAGCCACCGAGCTGCGGGATCTGTGGGCGTCTCGATCCGTCTCGCTTTCCCCCTTTTCCTCTGTCGTGATGCCGAGCGTCGTCTCTGACTCTCTGCTGGACCTGAGGGGAGAAGTTTGAGATCATTTAATACACGGCTGATCAGACTTGACTTAAGTCACGTTCATCAAACAGCTTCAGTGCCGCTGTAAACAGGAACTCTTTCCCGCTATAAGAAAGAGTTGAGTTTGCAATTTTGTCTCCAGTCCATCAATAAAGACGCTGAATACAAGGATGTGTCGAGCCAGACGGCGGCAGCGGATCACGCTGATGTTAAAACAACAGATAAGTGGATCTTCTTAACACTCTTTACCCCTGTGACAGGAATCCTGTAGATCAATACTGAGGCCGTTTGCAGCGAGTGGCCGTTCTGCCTGTAACTCAACACCAGCGGATCAGTCATCTTCTGTTGCTAACTGCTCATGAATATTTCACGGCAAATGAAATGATGGTTATTTTCATCTAAAAACGTACATGACACACATCCAACATCTCCAGTATGCAGATTGAGAAAAAAATCTGCTTATATCCATCCATACGGATGTTGCACATAAATATCCACACTTGCACCGTGTGCAAAGGAAATCCTCTCCACAGCAGAAGAATAGTCACATCCATATTTTCTCATTAATATTTCATAAACCACGGCGGTCACACTGTCTCAGTTTCTGAAGCTACTTCCCCCCATTTCCATCTTTCCTGGAAATACAATCCATTTGTGTGTCATTCTGGCTTTTACTGCAAGACTGCCTCAATGCACAAACACCTTGAATATCTGCTGCCAATTTCATAGCAGTCCATCTGATACGTGTCGGGATATTCCCCTCTGAACCACGCACGTCAACCCCCCGTCACCAAAGTCTGCAGGATTCACCCACTCCACAGCGGTCAATCCTCCGCGTGGTGACACCAGCATTGGCTAAAAATGCACCTTCATGCTCCATAAGCCTCATTCCTCCTTCTGGACTTCCTGGATCATATTTCACCGTCTCACTAGAACCTGAAACAACACGAAACAACACCAGAGCGGAAAAACCAGGAGCCGATTGGTGCTGGTCGTTACATGTTCAAACTGTGGGAGGTTGGGTGATGATTCTTGCCCTTGCTGCTGCTGCTGCTGCTTTACTGGCTGGTTGGAGGCAAAAGCCTGAGCAGAGAGACTTGGACTGGAAGAAAACGGGTGTGAAAATCTTTCAGCCTTTGAATTTGAAGTTGGTTTTCACATTGTTTTTGGACAGTGGTGATTAGAGCGACTGCAGCTGCCTTAATTACTGCTGGTTGCTCATTGGTTTATGTTGAATGTGAAGCTCTGTGCTGTGCTCCTGTATCTACCTGATAAACTCTTCCACTGCACCTCTGTCAACCCAGATGAAATCTCCATTTATTGCACCTGGTGAACCAGAACAGCATTTCCATCTTGAAGCAGGATCCCTCCCGCTCTCCTCCCTGAGCGCCCCGGTGTCATTCCGCTATGCCAATATTTGCCGGTGCTGAATGGAGCCGGGATGAGACGGGACGGGGCGGCAGATTGAGCTGCACAGCTTATTCTGGGAGGCAACAGGGGAGACGAGGCCGAGAGGGATGACAATCCATTTGTAACTGTGACCGAGCGCTTCAGGGGGTGAAGCACCTCATTTCCATAAACACACACACGTGCGCACGCACACATGCACACGCACACACGCACAGGATTTCAATAATAGGACCACAAATGTGTGCTGATGCAAAATATGAAAAACACAAAATGCTTCACACTTAACCTAAGCTGTGTGTGTGTGTGCACGTACATTACTGAGTGTGTGTGTGTGTGTGTGTGTGTGTGTGTGTCCATACAGAAGCCCCATAACCCTAAAAAGATAAGTGGTATGGCTAATGAATGAATGAATAAACAAACAAGGATGTACACACACACACGCACACACACACACACACACACACACACGACGGGACAATGACAGACTCGTGCTGTGACTGAGAAGACTGCAAACGTATTTACCTCCTGATGGACGGTGTTTGTTGCATGTGAATCTTTCTGTCTTTAATTAAAACTGCCACGAGGTGAAAAGACTGTGATGTGAACAGAAGCGTGATCAGTGATAAAATAACTGTTTGAACTGATCGTCAGCAGATCTCTGGCGTCCCGCGGCGTCGGACTCTCAGCGATTTGTTTGGCTGCCTTTTTTTGCCTGTTGCTGGCCAAACTAGTTACTGGGTTTCCTTTATTTGAACATGATCAGATTTTCTCTGGCGAACAGAACCTCAGAATCAGCCCTGAAGTGAGACTCAGACGTATTTATCTCTTTCATTTGGTCCTGGTGGGACCGTGTGATCGTAACGTCCCCTGCGTTCAAGGATGAATTCAGAGCTCTTTCTCCTCATTTCCTGCCACTTCCTGTCCCGTCTCCTATTTCTCACAAAGTGCTACATAACCCCAAAATCCTGAAACATGAACCTGCTCTTGATATTAAAGTCGTCTACGAGTACGAACACGTGAAACACGGAGTCGAGGTGAATGTGACAGACTGAACGCAGCGCGAGTAAAATCCAGGATAAGAAATGATGAATCCAAAAAAGTATATACCTGAGATTTCTCTTTGTAAACATCCCAGCATTCACTCTGAAAGGTCAGAGGTCACGGCCGCTCGTCATTCACCTATTGTACTCATCTAAAAATGCGTCTTCATGCAGCAGAAGGAAAAGAAAACTTTAACAAACACTGAGACATTTTCGCCTCTTGGATCGAAAAAGAAGAAGAAGAAGAAGAAGAAGCACAATTGTCTTCTACATTATTTTATGTTTGTTGTTACATTGAATTTTGCTGCTGTGGTTTCGTGTGTGTGTGTGTGTGTGTGTGTGTGTGTGTGTGTGTGTGTGTGTTTGTGTGTGTGGCCTCTGGTGTTTGTGGTCTGGCAGCAGAACATTTCTCTTATCGTTACAGAAACAGACTCAAGGACACGTTAATGGAATAAAGGAAAGATTCTGCTGTCTGACAAGGACATCTGGAAGAGGAGGACACACACACACACACACACACACACACACACACACACACACACACTTCCATATTGCGTATTGATCAGTGGATCTCAGCCTCTATGACACCGTCACTGTTGAACTTCTTCTTCTATACATTCAGTCACGTGTGCTGGTAGTTTTCTCCTCAGACAAAGGAAGTGATGAGTTCAATGTTTCTGGTTTTGGTTGGAATTAACAGAACTGCACTTCTCTACTCCACTAAACTCCTCAGAAACAGGTTTTTCTTCTCCTTTTCTTCTCTTTATCTCTGGCATCTTTTCTCTCCGTCTCTCCCTCAATGACTTTTGTTATCTCGCTCCATCCTTTCTCTCTCGCTAATTATCTCTTTCATTTGTTTGTCTTCTTCCTCTCTCTTTTTTATTGCTGCTTTATCTCTTGTTCTCCTACAGCTACACACAACAACCCAACAACACACACACACTAAACACACACACCACATGTACATCTACTCTTTCTATGACTGAACCATCTGTTGCACAAACACACACAGGAAGCTTATTATTTCTAAAAAGGAAAACTATGTAAAAATGTACTTTATACATATTTTATTTTTTATAGTTCATGATATTTAAGCTAATTATTGTTTTGTCTTAATTTATATTTTTATCTTCAACATTTGTGCCACTACAGAGATGCTCTAAATTACATAGTTGTGCAATGACCAATAAAAGTATTCTATTCTATTCTATTCTATTCTATTCTATTCTATTCTATTATATGAGCTAATGACTGAATGTGGACTCACCTGTGCCACTGTCTTAAACAAAAAGGGAGGATTAGACCATTAACTTTTGAACTTTAGCATTAAAACGGCTGCAACTAATGTTTTCTGGGTCCAATCCAAAAAATGTATATAATAATAAATTGAGGAAATTACAAAATGATTTAATTAGACGCTAAATAAAGTCAAGATTTGACATTTTTACCTGTTAATCAGTTAATATTTGAGGTGTTTTATCAAAATAGTTTTTTTTTAGCTTTTAGGTGTTTTTTTAATCTTTATTTTATTTATTCAATTACATGTACTGAGCATCTTCAGCACAATAAACTACTGTCTTATGTTAATTATCTATTTTATTGTATAGTGAAATTCACTTCTGATTTTATTTGATGTCAAAATGTGGCTTTTTCTTGTAAATTGTAAAATCTTATTTCTTATGTCAGTAAATTTTTTTTCCTTGACTCGTTCACTATTAGACAACAGGGACATTTCCGCCTTCGCTGACGACATTTATAGATTGTTTTGAGGAAATTAAAGGTTCATAAGAAGCGATTGTGACAGATTTAAATCAGCGTCAGCTGGAAATCTCTCCAACACAATAAACAGAAACACAACACAATCTGAGAAGCTCCTCCATCTGAGGACGACAGGAATAATTCATCACGCTGTCATCATGTGAGATGGAGCGGCGTCGCTACCTGCCTCCATGTACATCAGAAACCAGAGTCCTGAGCGGCGGCTCGTTATGTAAGAGCGTTATCAGTGGGCGGTTGGCGTTGGACTGGAAGCTGAAGCAGCTCTCCAACATACTGAACTTCTCCATTCTGGTGATAGTGGAGGGGCTTTAAAACCTTACATAACCCCTCGCTTTCACACAGGGACGAATATACCATACAATCACTGACAGCACCCAAGGGCAACCCCCCCACCCCCCCTTTTTTTCCCATCCCCCAGCACCCAACCATTTTCCTTCCATCCTCCACCACCCTTTCTTCTTCTTCTTCTTCTTCTTTTTTTAATTTCATAATCCAGGCGCTGGCAGCGGTGCGTGATGTGGGATAATGTTATCAGGGCCGGGCAGGACGGCGCGCTGATCCTATCCAGTTAATTGGAAGTTGTTTCCGAGTTTCGCGGCCGGAGACGGGGACGGGAGCAGCTCGGGAAGGCAAACATTAGTCCGTCAATGTAACATGTTAATGACAGGCGAAGGGAACGTGTTATAGAGGGAAGGAAAGAAGGGGGATGAAAAAGAGGGAAAGGCTTTAAATGTGTGTTATTTCAGTTCAGAGATGACAGGTCCATTACA